AAACAGCTGGTAGTCAACGTCTCAGGAGATTTTCAGAGATAGATCTTTGCAGATCTTATAGACCGTCTTTACCCAACGATCTATAGCAACAAGGGGATATCGACAAACATACTACACATACTCAGGTAGGCTTTGTGACAAAAAAACGTCCAGGAAGTCCAAGTGTTACCACTAGCCTCGAAACAAGAACGCCGTACGGATGATCAGGACCAATCACAGGCTCAGCGCAGAGCATTGGACGTGAATTGTGGCATGCGAGCCAACGCCAGTCATCTGCGGCGATGATCAAGAGAATGCTGCTGGAGTCGTTGGGCGACGACCAGTGAAGAAATTAGGGCAATCCAGAGAATTACTTTCTGAAGACAACGACCCGAGACGTCGCCGAATGACTGTAATAGATTGGCACAGCCAATTCCAGGACCTCTACATCGTTGAACCACTCTGGGACGCAACTCTAAGATATTGCTTGAAGATCACGCCAAGGAGAAGAAAAAAAAGTCATTTTTTTCTTAAATGGAGGTTCCGTTATTATTGATGATATGTCAAAAAGCTTTTATATTACTCTTAAGATTAAGTGAGCTGAAGCAAAGTATGTATTTCCTGTTCTTCTCTGTGGATCAGAAACAACTTGACACTCAATCAATCGCTAGAGAGTCGTATCAACGCCGTTATATCGTCGTATTCTGTCGCATATCATGAATACACCGACTCACAAATGGCGAGGTGCTCAAACAGATGGGCATAGGGAGGGAGCTCCTGATAACCATTAAAGAGCGGAAGCTTCTAACATTTCTATGATTATGGAAGAAACCCAAGTCAAATCAAAACAGTTTACTGTCAAGTCTTCAATGATATCAAGAAATTTTTGATTTTAAGCCATCTTAATATTATGCCTAAAAGTAAAATTTTTTAATTTTACTAAAATTGTAATATTAATGTAAAGCCCAAAGATGAATTAATCGAAAAGAGCTTCACACCAGGTGGAATCCGATATAAATAGTCAAAATAATCAAAATAATAAGAAATTAAGAACTCTGACATAAGAAGCTAATTCGGGGTTTAGAACAAGAGATTTTGGCAAATCAATTATTTTGCATAATGCGTTGACGGCACTACGTTAATTGCCAAATAAGAGGGCTTGTGAGATCAACTACAGATCCAGTCTAACGTAAGCTGGTAGTTAACGACATCCCCATCTAATCAGTCATTTTTAGGAATTTTTCTACACAAGACCTTGTGGTAGTAGACTCAGAAGGATAATCTCAGAAAAGACCAGGTGGGATTGAATTAAAACTTTGACATAAGAAGCTAATTCGCGATTTAGGAGAGATTTTTGCACAACGACGTTTGTAGAATGCCAAATAATTTTGCTTACAAATGACCAGTTCAGAACTAGACCACCAAAGAGATGAAGAGACAGTGGCAGTCAACGTCTCAAGAGATTTTCAAAGGTAGATCTTACTAGGAACAATAGACCCAATGGTCTATAGCAAGAAGACCATATTGACAAGAGACTACAGCACCAAAAATCATCAATGAAGATCTAGAAAGTGGAATAGATGAAATATTCTTGGACCTACATTATTCTGAAATCAATTATGTTGAAACAACCGTCTTGTATAGGCTATACGTTACAAACGTTATATGTTGATTTATAATATCAGTGTAGCAGCATTTTGTTCTTTAGGGGAAATAAGTGTTAATTGTCATTTACTTATTATCTACTCCGTTTGAGTCGTGGGATATTTTATATTTCAAGATTTCCCCACCAATCTTTTCCTAGGCATTGTAGCATTGAAATTTTTTTTTTGTAGTCTCTTTGTCCACTGCAGTTTTTGAACTTTGATGAATCGTACATTTTTCTAATCTGATCCATATTGCATGTCTTTTCATTTCTGAGTATTTCTGCTGTGCTAACCTAACCTTTTTGGACATAATATTAAGATTGTATGCGTAAGTAACGAGTTGTACACCTCTAGTTCTTCTCTGCCAACGTTTATCTATTTTACATACTCCAATACTAAATTAAAAAAGACTTCCCTTAGAATCTCTAATAAATTTTTTTCTTAACCCACCAACGTGTTGCGCTGTTTGATCGTTCTAACTTATCTAACTTGCTTAACCCCAGAAAGCTAAACTGTTCAAAAGTGACGTTAAAGCTAAACTATCGTAAAATTTACAACTGCTAAAAAAATACTTCTAGATACAAATTTTGACATTAATGAATACAATCAGTCAAAATATATCAATGAAAACATGTTTAGGTCAAATTTGGAAATTACAAGTCCTCAATGCAATCGACACAGTACCAAAATTTTCTTCTTGAAACCGATTTCTGACTTTTCACAACATTAGTGACGTAAATGATACATGCATTCACAAGTACAATGTTCAGAATACCATACAATACGCACAAAGGATACCGTTTAGTCTTGCGAATGGCTAAAGCCGAATGATTTTAGTTCTAGCTCGAATGTTAGTTCTAGTTCTAGATGGTGCTAGATTGTATGTTGTTATTGAACTAAAACTAGAACTAACACTAGACCTACAACTAGAAAGTTTCGGGTTTAGCCGTGCGTCTGAAAGCGAAAAATTATTGAAAAGTTTCTGGACATCTTTAAAAATCTTCTGGAAATTTTTATAACTGTCTAGAAAGCGTTTAAACACTATTTGATAACTATAGAGACCATTAGAAAGCTTCTGGACACTCTTGGACATCTTTAAAGTCCCCTAGTTTATTACTAGAAGTAGAACTAATACTAGACTTGGAACTAGAAACATTCGGGTTTAGCCGTCTTGAGAGACGCACGGCTAAACCTGAAACTTTCTAGTTGTAGGTCTAGTGTTAGTTCTAGTTTTATTTGTTATTCAGCGCCAAATTGTTATATATCTTTATTGAATTGACACACTAGACTTAGAATTAGAAACATTCGGGTTTAGCCGTCTTGAGAGACGAGTGAAAAATCATTGAAAAATTTCTGGACATCTTTAAAAATCTTCTGGAAATCTTTATAACTGTCTAAAAAGCGTTTAAACACTATTTGATAACTATAGAGACCATTAGAAAACTTCTTAGACATCTTTAAAGTCCCCTAGTTTATTACTAGAAGTAGAACTAACACTAGACCTAGAACTAGAAACATTCTTGAAAGACGAACGGATAAAGCCGAATGATTCTAGTTCTAGGTTTAGTGTTAATTCTAGTTTTATTTGTTATTTAGCGCCAGATTGTTGTATATTTTTATTGAACACGTGATTTTTACGATACTTTAGCTTTTTAGGGTTAAATATCATTTTTGGCAGTAAACTTTTTTTTAACAAATAATGAAATTGGTTGTGTAATTAAGACTTAATGCCTTCTGGGTGATGTTTTTTAGTAGTTGATGAAGATCTTGATTGTTGCAATATCTCCTATTCACTTTTTGTAATATAAATTTGAACCTACAAGATTATTCATTGGTTTATGAGTATCTCTTCTACTCGCCCACACTGCGTAATTGACGAGATTTTACATAAATTAATATTGCTTATAACTTTAAATTACGCATAAATATTTCTGGCAGACAAAAACACGAATTTTACGAGTATTTAATTATTTATGTCTATCTTTTTTTGAAAACTGCATAGTTTTAATTTATGTGCACCTGTTTGACCTTGATATCTTCATCTTGCAGCGATTCTCAAGATTTTACGATAAAACAACTTAATATTACTACGATTTTATACTATGTTTGATGTGTAACTAGTTTCGGTTAATGCCATCATCAGAGAAAAAAGTTAATTAATTATGAATTCGACTTTAAAGTCATGTTTAATTTAACTTTTAGTTGTTTTTGCGTAGGTTGAGTTATAATGATTCAATTGTGAAAAAATTTCAATCGATTAACAAATCGGTAAACGCAAATTAAGCACCGATTGAAAAAAAGATTGAATTAAAATTGTGTACTATCGTGTTGGGGCCATTTCGATTCGTGGTCGTAAATCTTTACGTTTAAGTAGCTCACTTTACAAATGGGTTTGTTGAATCATTTCTTGCTTGTTCATTGCGTACGATTTTGAATGGACCAATTAAATTTAATTCGATTTTTTTTAATTTTTATTAAGTATTATTTTTTTACAACCTAATTTGCGTAATAACTACGACAAGGACGATTTTTTTTTTGATATAATATAATATAATATTAATATCGAAGAATTCTAATCTAATCTAAACCCGTATTAATTTGCCCTGAACTAAATTAATAATATATTGCACAATTTTGCATAAATAATATTGAAAAAAATCGATTAAAAGGGGTATTTACCAGAAAGCGTTTTTGTTTCGATTAATCGATAACTAAAAATAACAACTACATTAGGTAAATTTTTTTTGATAAATCGATCTAATCAACAAAATATAAAAGAACATCGCAAAAATTAATCAGTTTATCGTCTCGAATGTATCGATAAGAATTAATTTATTTTAATGCGCTTTAATTTAGCAATTTGTGCGGCTCTTTTATGGACATGGAAAAATTGTAGAGTTGCACGTAGCCGTTACACATTTCCGGTTAAACTCACTATAATTTAGTCGGGTGAGGACAAAAACACAAATTAGTTAGACAATTCCGTACAATTTTCCACGTATAATTAAGATTTCCAGATTAGATTGGCGACTTACTTTTTTTAATTTATTACTTATATAAATTAAAATAAAACAAATAGAATTAACACAATTTTTTTTTTGATTATGACTGATTAATCGGTATTATTGGTTAAAAAGTCATAGTTAAGAAGAAGAGAAAAAAAAACTTGTTGCATTAAGTGAGGCGACTGGTTCTCTTTGGTGAGGAGAGAGGCAAAAGATGTGACATAATTCCAACACAACCGTCCTTTCACTCTCAACGTCGATCTCTCGTCTCATTTTAGAATTAAGGTTACTTATCGGTTGCGAAACGATGAAAAATGTTTAAGCCTCATTTTTTAAGTTGATACATTTTGATGAGATAAAGTTTGCTTACCTGCAAAACCGCCAGCGCATCTTCAAAGTCCGACTCTTCCAAATCAGAAATTTGCACACCGTCGAAAATGTCTATTTGATCGGAAACTCCGCTCAAATCTGACACGACACTGCTACCGCAACTGTTCCCCGAATCCTCCATCGTTGAAAACATCTCCTTTTCATCCATTGCAAGTATCTCTTTTGAGCTCATTTTAATTTGTTTTTAATGAAAACCCAAAAAAAATGTCTTCAAAAAGAACAAAAATTGTTTAAGACAATTTACTTCTTTTTTAGTTCTTCACTAAATGAACGACCTCGTAAGGTCGGATTGAAGAGACACTTGGTTTTTTATTGATGCGGACACCCCGTTTTATTTTTTTTGTATCGCGTTGCTGTTGCTTGTTGGAGGTAGACACAGATTACGATATGGCAGGATTGAGTTATGGCTCCTGCTGCCTCAACGTCGTCGGTCCGACCGCGACAGACGAGATCGCACTACTGCTTCCACCGGGTTCGACGTCGCGAACGGCAACAGTTTGCGGGTCCCCGCGATTCAAACGCATGCGCTCATTTTGTATGGGGTCTGCAGGATCTAGAATGACCGAGCGAATGGGCTCCCAGAATAAGATGGAAACGGTTAAACGACAACAGGTTGAATTTTGGGAGTCTAAAAAGATTTTTTGATCTAAATTTTTACGAGATTATTCTAGAATTTAGAAAAATTTTGAATAATCTAGTAATCATTTTTGGTTATATCTAATCTATGTTGTCGACTTGTCAAAACACTAAAGCAGGACTTAAAATTGTATTTACTTAATTGCAACGATAAATAAAATGTTTCAAATCTTCATATGAATTTATCATTAGAAACCAGACTTGAACCACCGACAACATACTTACAAATTTTGTGAACGTTTACTGATAACTGAAGTCTGTTGGATTTTCCTATATCAGGCTGCTGCTCAATATACAGGATGATTCATAAGTACCGACACAGAACAGGGACATGTAGAGGACATGAACTATGAAATTATCAGTCAAACTTGACAAATCGGTTATAAAGTTATTTGATGACAAGGTTTTCTCCATCACCTTTCATTCTTGAGTTATGATCGATTTTAACACCAAAAGTACCCAATTTTGACATTTTGGGGATTTTCTCTTTATCACCTGAAAATCATTACATCTAAACTAAATTTGTTTATGGATGATGTTTTCTTCGTTGACAATAAACAACTTATTCCTAAAAAACTTTTCTCCATCACCTTTCATCCTTGAGTTATGATCAATTTTATTATCAAAAGTACTCAATTTTCATATTTCGATGATTTTCTCTTTTTATCATTAGAAAATCATTATAATTAAACCAAATCTGTTTATGAGTAATGTTCTTTTAGTTCATAATAAACAATTTATTTCAAATAAACTTTTCTCCATCACCTTTAATTTTTGAGTTATGATCTATTTTAATACCAAAAGTACTCAATTTTGACATTTTGGTGATTTTTTCTTTATCACTAGAAAATCATTATACCTAAACTAAATTTGTTTATGGATGATGTTTTTTTAGTTCATAATAAACAATTTATTCCTAAAAAACTTTTCTCCATCACCTTTCATCCTTGAGTTATGATCAATTTTAATACCAAAAGTACTCAATTTTGATATTTCGATGATTTTCTCTTTTTATCATTAGAAAATCATTATAACTAAACCAAATCTGTTTATGAGTAATGTCCTTTTAGTTCATAATAAACAATTTATTTCAAATAAACTTTTCTCCATCACCTTTAATTTTTGAGTTATGATCTATTTTAATACCAAAAGTACTCAATTTTGACATTTTGGTGATTTTTTCTTTATCACTAGAAAATCATTATAACTAAACCAAATCTGTTTATGAGTAATGTCCTTTTAGTTCATAATAAACAATTTATTTCAAATAAACTTTTCTCCATCACCTTTAATTTTTGAGTTATGATCTATTTTAATACCAAAAGTACTCAATTTTGACATTTTGGTGATTTTTTCTTTATCACTAGAAAATCATTATAACTAAACCAAATCTGTTTATGAGTAATGTCCTTTTAGTTCATAATAAACAATTTATTTCAAATAAACTTTTCTCCATCACCTTTAATTTTTGAGTTATGATCTATTTTAATACCAAAAGTACTCAATTTTGACATTTTGGTGATTTTTTCTTTATCACTAGAAAATCATTATAACTAAACCAAATCTGTTTATGAGTAATGTCCTTTTAGTTCATAATAAACAATTTATTTCAAATAAACTTTTCTCCATCACCTTTAATTTTTGAGTTATGATCTATTTTAATACCAAAAGTACTCAATTTTGACATTTTGGTGATTTTTTCTTTATCACTAGAAAATCATTATAACTAAACCAAATCTGTTTATGAGTAATGTCCTTTTAGTTCATAATAAACAATTTATTTCAAATAAACTTTTCTCCATCACCTTTAATTTTTGAGTTATGATCTATTTTAATACCAAAAGTACTCAATTTTGACATTTTGGTGATTTTTTCTTTATCACTAGAAAATCATTATAACTAAACCAAATCTGTTTATGAGTAATGTCCTTTTAGTTCATAATAAACAATTTATTTCAAATAAACTTTTCTCCATCACCTTTAATTTTTGAGTTATGATCTATTTTAATACCAAAAGTACTCAATTTTGACATTTTGGTGATTTTTTCTTTATCACTAGAAAATCATTATAACTAAACCAAATCTGTTTATGAGTAATGTCCTTTTAGTTCATAATAAACAATTTATTTCAAATAAACTTTTCTCCATCACCTTTAATTTTTGAGTTATGATCTATTTTAATACCAAAAGTACTCAATTTTGACATTTTGGTGATTTTTTCTTTATCACTAGAAAATCATTATAACTAAACCAAATCTGTTTATGAGTAATGTCCTTTTAGTTCATAATAAACAATTTATTTCAAATAAACTTTTCTCCATCACCTTTAATTTTTGAGTTATGATCTATTTTAATACCAAAAGTACTCAATTTTGACATTTTGGTGATTTTTTCTTTATCACTAGAAAATCATTATAACTAAACCAAATCTGTTTATGAGTAATGTCCTTTTAGTTCATAATAAACAATTTATTTCAAATAAACTTTTCTCCATCACCTTTAATTTTTGAGTTATGATCTATTTTAATACCAAAAGTACTCAATTTTGACATTTTGGTGATTTTTTCTTTATCACTAGAAAATCATTATAACTAAACCAAATCTGTTTATGAGTAATGTCCTTTTAGTTCATAATAAACAATTTATTTCAAATAAACTTTTCTCCATCACCTTTAATTTTTGAGTTATGATCTATTTTAATACCAAAAGTACTCAATTTTGACATTTTGGTGATTTTTTCTTTATCACTAGAAAATCATTATAACTAAACCAAATCTGTTTATGAGTAATGTCCTTTTAGTTCATAATAAACAATTTATTTCAAATAAACTTTTCTCCATCACCTTTAATTTTTGAGTTATGATCTATTTTAATACCAAAAGTACTCAATTTTGACATTTTGGTGATTTTTTCTTTATCACTAGAAAATCATTATAACTAAACCAAATCTGTTTATGAGTAATGTCCTTTTAGTTCATAATAAACAATTTATTTCAAATAAACTTTTCTCCATCACCTTTAATTTTTGAGTTATGATCTATTTTAATACCAAAAGTACTCAATTTTGACATTTTGGTGATTTTTTCTTTATCACTAGAAAATCATTATAACTAAACCAAATCTGTTTATGAGTAATGTCCTTTTAGTTCATAATAAACAATTTATTTCAAATAAACTTTTCTCCATCACCTTTAATTTTTGAGTTATGATCTATTTTAATACCAAAAGTACTCAATTTTGACATTTTGGTGATTTTTTCTTTATCACTAGAAAATCATTATAACTAAACCAAATCTGTTTATGAGTAATGTCCTTTTAGTTCATAATAAACAATTTATTTCAAATAAACTTTTCTCCATCACCTTTAATTTTTGAGTTATGATCTATTTTAATACCAAAAGTACTCAATTTTGACATTTTGGTGATTTTTTCTTTATCACTAGAAAATCATTATAACTAAACCAAATCTGTTTATGAGTAATGTCCTTTTAGTTCATAATAAACAATTTATTTCAAATAAACTTTTCTCCATCACCTTTAATTTTTGAGTTATGATCTATTTTAATACCAAAAGTACTCAATTTTGACATTTTGGTGATTTTTTCTTTATCACTAGAAAATCATTATAACTAAACCAAATCTGTTTATGAGTAATGTCCTTTTAGTTCATAATAAACAATTTATTTCAAATAAACTTTTCTCCATCACCTTTAATTTTTGAGTTATGATCTGTTTTAATACCAAAAGTACTCAATTTTAACATTTTGGTGATTTTTTCTTTATAACTAGAAAATCATTATAACTAAACCAAATCTGTTTATGGATGATGTCTTTTTAGTTCATAATAAACAATTTATTTCAAAAAAACTTCTCTCCATCACAATTAATTTTTAAGTAATGATCGATTTTGATAACAAAAGTACTCAATTGTGACATTATGGGGATTTTCTCTTTATCACTAGAAAATCATTACATCTAAACAAAATCTGTTTATCAATAATATCTTTTTAGTTCATAATAAACAATTTATTCCTAAAAAACTTTTCGTCATCACCTTTCATTCTTGAGTTATGATCGATTTTAAAACCAAAAGTACTTAATTTTGAGATATTGGGGATTTTCTCTTTATCACTAGAAAATTATTATGCCTAAACTAAATTTGTTTATGGATGATGTCTTTTTAGTTCATAATAAACAGTTTATTCCTCAAATTACATGTCCTTGCTTTGTGTCGGTTCTTATGTGAATTCTTTTCTGCTCTTTTGCAAACAATTTCTAATGTTTTGCCAACAAGAATCTCCTAAGAATCTTCTTAAAGATTTACTCGTTTTTCTAATTTTTAACATTCCACACTTTTTAACGTCGGTCGCCATTCCTATTTCACCTTTTATCTTCATTTTGTTTATCCATCAGATAGCAAAATGCTTTACTTTTATTTGATTCCCAGTCTACACCTATTATAGCTTAATTGACTTTGTCGCTGATGATTGGGTAACCCGAAACTAGTACGACTTTATATAAATAAATGCAAGTTAGAAGTTTTTACATGGTTTTTATTTAACACTATTTAATGTTTTGCAAGCAATTTATAGTGTTGTGCAAATCGTATCTAATCTTCTTCGTATCGTCTTTCGTAAGTAGTACTTAATTGTCTATAAATCATATGAAGTTTTCTTCCTAATTCAATCAAAATGTAGTCTTCTGCAAATAATATACATTCATTGGTAAGCATTATCTAGTCTTTAGTAAGAAGTGTGTAGACGATGGCAGGAAGTGTTTGCAAGCAATTTCTAATCTCATAATATAATATATAATCTTCTGTTAACGTTCTCTAGTGTTCTGCAAA